CGGGAGTGGGGATGGGATAGAGGGAATGGGGATGGAATAGGGGAAATGGGGCTGGAAGAGGGGGAAATGGAGTTGGAATGTTGGATTTATAAAAATGCCGATCCAGAACCCTGACCTGTGAGTTTTATCCACATCTGTACAAAACTTCGGGAATAGAAAGTAAAACTGGTTTTTTTTTTCACAGTGATCATAGAATCATGGGATCCTGGAATGGTTGGGGTTGGAAGGGACCTTAAGCTCATCCCCATCCCTTGCCACCCCCCTGCCATGGTCAGGGACACCTTCCACCAGCCCAGGTTGCTCCAAGCCCCATCCAACCTAGCCTAGAACACTTCCAGCGATGTGGTAGCCACAGCTGCTCTGGGCAACCTGTGCCAGTGCTTCACCTCCCTCGCAGGGAAGGATTTTTTCCCAATATGCAATCTGACCCTACTTTCCAGCAGTGCGAAGCCATTCTCCCTTGTCCTGTCACTCCAGGATCTTGTAAATAGTCTCCATCTTTCCTGACCTTCAGGTCCTGGAAGGCCACAATTAGGTCACTCCGAAGCTTCTCTTCTCCAGGCTGAACAATCCCAATTCCCTCAGCCTTTCCTCACAGGAGAGGTGCTCCATCCCTCTAATCATCTTGGTGACCCTAGCAAGACCTCATGTCCTCCATCTACTCCAGACAAAATTGCACTGAGGTTTCCTATCTGGAGTCCTTTCCCGTTGGCATCTAATGACCTTTCCCTCCTCTGGCCCAGCTCAAGCCGTGCCCAGAGCAGTGGTTCCCTCGGAGGTGGGCGATGGTGCTGTGTACACACCTCTGCTGAGGCAGGATGAGCAGCTGGACCTGCTGGAGCGCCTTGACTTTGTGGTGAGGAACATTTCAGAGCTGAGGAGGGAAGTGGAGGAGCTCCGGAACAGCCTGCAGCACCTGGCTGTGGAGATCGTGGGGGAAGTCAGGTACCCACCCTGCCTCTTCTGTCTTCTTGTTTGCCCCATAGCATGGGTAAATAGCCACAGAATCCCAGAATCCTGTCATAGTTTGGGTTGGAAGAGGCCTTAAAGCCTATGCAGTTCCATAGGCAGGGCCACCTTCCATGAGCCCAGGTTGCTCCAAGCCTCATCCAGCCTGAACACTTGCAGGGATGCCATGATTATGTTAAATTTCAAAGCCAAAATTCAGAAAAGTATCGCTCTAGTTTCCACTGGCCTTGACCTCCAGTGAGACTAATGTGAAAACAGTTGTGTGTTCAGCCAGACTTGGTGTTTTCTATATGGAATATCAAGAGTGACATTTGCTTCATGTTCTAGGCTGGGAAGGTTGGTTGGTCCTCAACAAATCCTGGAATGGTTTAGGTCAGAAGGGACCTTAAGCTTACCCTGCCATGGGCAGGGACACTTTCTACTAGCCCATGTTTCTCCAAGCCTCATCCAGCCTGACCCTGAACACTTCCAGGGATGGAGCAGCTACAGCTTCTCTGGGAAATCATTCCTGTGCTTCATCACCCGCACAGGGAAGAATTTCTTCCCAGTATCCATCCTAAATTTCCCCTCTGTCAGTTTGAACCCATTCCCCTTTGTCCTGTAACTGCAGTTGAGGAGTCCTGATGAATGTGGATTGTATATGGACAATATATGGATTGTACATGGACCAAGACTTGCTTTACCTGCACAATACCATTTGCTGCCTGGGAGGGGAATGTTTATATAAGCCAGAGGAAATCCCCTTGTGAATTCTTTGTATAGTCTGCTGCAGAGGAGAAGGAAATAAGCAGATACTTCACTATAAAATGTTCATTTCTTTCTCCTTTTCCCTTCCTCAAAGGTCTCACCTGGAGGAAACACAGAGAGTGACTCGCCGGAGGCGATTCCCCTTCTCCAGAGAGAGAAGTGACTCCACAGGCTCCAGCTCCATCTATTTCACAGCCAGCTCAGGGAATGCCAACACAGATGATGGAGAAAGTGAAGGAGGGTAAGCAGAACACCAGGCCACAAGCAGATTTTAGGGGCTTTGGTGCCGTATCTGAACAGTTTATAACATGAAGGAAGGGAATTTTTTCCTCATTGTGTGTCTGTCATCCTCTTAATTTGCTTTTGTTACAGTGAGTGTGTTAAAGATTGAGCAAAGTGCAATGGGCAAATTTCCACCCAGCTTTTAGAGAATAGGTGAAAAGAAAATATGTGTATATAGTTTTGGGGGGGAAGAATTAAAGGAATAAATTGGTTAGAGGACCTTGCAGAAAGAAGGGAAGTAGAAGTCTAGCCTGGGACTTGAGTGAGAGAGTTTAGAAATAAATTTTCTAGACAGTAATAGGTTTTAGAATGTCTGGAAAACTCGAGAGAGTTAATAATGTATTAACTAAATGTCTTCAATTAACTAAATCTCTTCAGCTAGGGTGTTCCTCAGGAATTTGTGTCACACACTGATCAGTTGTGTTAAGTTGTTAGAGTTGAAAATCAGGTGAAAGTCAAAGAATAATGGAATATTCTGAATTGGAAAGGACCCACTAGGCTCATCAAAGTCCAACTCCTGACCCTGCACAGGACAGAAGAGTACCTTGTAGGTTAAGGATATCATTAAAAATGACAGTATAGCTGCAGGTATTATCATGTCTGATAGGTGACAAGAGTTCTCCTGCACACCAGTGAGTGACCACTGATTTCCTGGTGGAATTCTGCTCTTCTGTGCCTCAATCAGACCAATTTTGTAGCTTTTGAGGTACAGAAGTGCAGCCCAAAACAGGCAGCACTGCCATATACGCATTCCCAGGGCAGTTGAAATGAAATGTAATTGGAAGAGAGATTTTTTTAGCAGTGGGAGCATTCCAGGAGGGATTTGGACATGATGAGGAGCAGTCAAGTGGTGGTGCCAGCAGGGGTTTGTGACCAGGGAAGTGGAATCTGCAGGATAAAACTGTGTCATTTCAGTGTTCATCTCAAATAACTGGAGGTGGTGAGGCAGGACAGAGCTGGTGTGATCTCATTCATTGTAGAGCTTCATTCATCTGAAGTGGGTGTTGGAATGAGAAGGAAACTAAAGAGTAAGTGATTCATGATGGTGTCATAGGTAATGAGGCTGAAAAACATTTTAAACCTATATAGTTTGTTCTGAACGAACAAGACTTTGCTGTCTGGATAACAACAGGTGCACTGAGTCATCAGGGTGACAGTGGACTTTGTAAAATGGCTGAGAAAGGTGATGTTTTTCCATAGGTCCCAGCCCTGGGTGTTCTCTGATCATGGAGGATTGTGACAGAGACCAAGAGTTCAAAGGTTCAGAGAAAGCACTTCCTTAGGGCACTCCAACTGGGCTGTGGGGCAGGGAGTATTTTACTACAAAACCAGTGGTGGTTAGAGGAGTTCTGCCATTTTATTTAAAGTCTGTAATTATCTTTAGTGACCAGTGTGGAGGATTAGTGGATTAGCAGCTCTCATCTGATTTAAAGAAAACTGGAATCTCATATAATTTCTCACTCTGGTCCTACGCGAACAGGTATAAACATCAATCTGTTCAGGACCAGCTGCCTTTAGTGTGCAATATTGCCTGTCAGAGATGTTAATAGACTCGAAAACTAACATTTTCAGGGTTAAAATCAGGGTAGGAAATGTAAAGTTTGGACAAGACTGTTGAAGCTTTGCAGCAGCCACTGGGAGGAAGAAGGAGACTTGTTCCCAACAGAGAAATTTCAGCTGGATATTCATTGCTGGCAGTTGAATCCCATTTCAACTTTATTTGTGAGCCACATGATCATGAGCATCAGCTCCGATTTCGTGCACAATTCCCAAACTCACCTGGAGTTTTCAGGGGGTTTGGGCTGTTTAATTTTCCTGTGGAGCTTTTGGGCTTCTTTGCCTCCTCTTTCCATGGGCTTTTTTTGTTCCAGAAAGTCTGTTTTCCTTCAGGATGTATGATTAGCCAGAGGCCTTGCCATAGTAAAACATTCCAGACCTTTCCATCACTGGAAACTCAGGAAAACAGGCTGATAACATCTAAATCGCTTAATCTCCCTGTAAGCTTTGTTTCTTGATGGTGTTACTTGTCTTTTTCAACTGGCAGCATCCCCTAGGAGCTGTCTGGGAGAAAACCCATTGGTTTTAGAGCTGAAGGACTGAAATCTTGGCAGCTGCCAGGAAAATGTGGTGAGCCAATGTCCCAGCTGTGCAGCCCCAGCTGTGTGTGTGGTGGGTTAGGATGGGGAAATTGGGGAATTTGAGGAGTTTGTGTTCAGTTGCTGAAAATGAGGTAGTCTAGAGAACTAATTATGTCATTAATCTTAAGAAATGTAAAGAAATGAAGCTTTTAATCTGAGACAGAGCTGTGCCAGTGTCACCTATCCCTGTGTGGCTACATTGTCCATTCATTCAGTGCTGCCTACATTGTGTCCTTGCTTTCCTGCCTTTGCAGTGGTGAGGCTGAATCTTTATTGTCTTAAAATGTTTCAATACCAAACGGTGGGTTTTAGATTTATGGCTGAGGGCTGGAGGCTGTGGTGAGTGAGGGTGTTTGTTCACCCTCTACCAGCAAAGGAAATGCTTCAAGAATTATAGCTGGTTCACAGAAAAGTGAACCTTTGATAGCCACATGTGTCTTGTTATCTATGTGTGGGCGAAGTGCTGTCACTGCCTCCTTCAGATACAGGCTGTGGTCACATATCTGTGTCCCCAGACAAAGGCAGCCTCAGAGGACTGTCTCTGAGAGAAGGAATCCAGCCAGGACAGAAGGGAGCACAGCTGGAGGTACCCAGTGCCCTCGGACTGCATGAATTTAATTTCAGCAGAGCTGGTGACGTTGGCTTGGGCAGAGTTCAATTGGGTGACAATTGCAAACATCCCCTAGAACTGAAGCTGGGATCTGAGGCAGCTTCAGGATAAGAGCTTGTTATTCACTGAAACCCACAAAATCCAAATATTAAAGGGCACATTTTGAAATTACTGGCTGATTTGTGCCTGCTCTGCAGGTAAGAGCTTGCAGGTAAACATGGGGGGCACAAATAGTCTTGTTTAGAAAGAAATTAGCTAATTTCTTTTTGAGTCAGAAGAAAGACTTCCCACTGCAGTGGTAGCACTATATAAAAATTCTCAGCTTAGATGCCTGTATATGGTTTGGGGCCGATTGATCTTAGCCATTTTCACACACCTCGATCTGACCTTTACAGAGTTATCAAGGTTGGAAGAGACCTTCAAAGTCATCCAGTCCCACCATCACCCCAGCACCACCATAACCACCCCTGAACCATGTCCTGGTTTGTTTGACTAATCCAGCTGCAAATCATTCCCTGGGTTTTTGCACATGTGGTGCCTGTGGCTCATCCTCTGGCTCCTTGCTGGATTTCTTGCTCATGGGAAGTAGTTTTGGTGGCACTCCTGCTGTTCTGCTCCCTTTCACCTGGCAGTGGGAACAAGCTGTGTTGCAGCATCAGGATGATGGAGGGACTAGGTGTTGCCAGAATAGCTGTTGTGCCTGAAATTCCTTAGAACAGGCCAAACCCCTCATGTTCTATTTTTCAGCTGGGTGAGCATGTTGGATTTGTTGTCAAAATTCTCTTCTATAATCCATGTATTTAACTGAATTATCCTCGCTCTCTGCTTAGCAGTTTAATTCCCTTACACTGAAGTTAGAAGGGCTAAGAGGAGCTGACAGCATGTGCAGGTGAAGTGGGGACACTTAAAATCCCAGGAAAGGACCTTAAAGCCCATCCAGTTCCACCCCCTGCCATGGGCAATGACACCTGACACCAGGTTGCTCAAAACCAACTTGTATCTGAGTTCTGCTTAGCTTTGGTGTCCTTTTTCCTTCAGCTTTCTGAGGCTGTGCTTATCCCATGAGAAATACTGGTTGGTGTGTGTTTGAGACTCTTGAATTTCTCCCAAAGGTACACCACGGCCAACGCTGAGTCCGACTACGACCGGGAATCCGAGCGGGAGAGCGAAGAAGGGGAGGATGAAGTGAGCTGTGACACAGTGCGAACTGTGAGGCGAGATTCCCTGGATCTTGTCACTGAGGATGAAACCCCTTTAAGCTTGGATTCCACACTGGAAGAGGGACTGAGTCAGCTGCTGCAGCAGGCTGACCACCTGCACGCAGGGGATGAGCAGGAGAAGAGAGAGGGATTCCAGCTGCTCCTCAACAACAAGCTGGCGGTAAAGGTGCTTTTTTTGTTTTCCAGCAGTAATCCCCTGTGCCAGGGGAGGTTCAGGTTGGACACCAGGAGGAAATTCCTCACAGAATGGGTTGTTAAACGGAATGGGCTGCTCAGGGTGCTGGTGATCACCTCCAGGGATGGTGACTCCACCACCTCTCTGGGCAGCCTGTTCCAGTGCCTGACAACCCTTTCCATGAAGAAATTCTTGCTGATGTGAACCTGAACCTCCCCTGGCACAGCTCAAGGCTGTTCCCTCTTGTCCTGTCAGTTGTTCCCTGGGAGCAGAGCCTGACCTCCACTATGTTCCAAGCTCCTGTCAGGGAATTGCAGAGAGCAGTAAGATCCCCCTGATCATCCTTTTCTCCAGGCTGAGTGCCCCCAGCTCTCTCAGCCACTCCTGATGCTCCAGACCCTTCCCCAGCTCCATCTCTATCTCTGGACACCTCCAACCCCTCAGTGTCTCTTGGAGAGAGTGCCCAAAACCTGACACAGCACTCGAGGTGCCTCAGCTGTGCCCAGCAGAGAGAGAATCACTCCCCTAGTCCAAATTATAAACTTGACCATCCAGTTCACTCTCATGCAGTCCTGCTTCCGTTCTGGCACGGTCAAGGTGTTCTAAGGCTTAAAAAAACACCTGTGCAACTTCTAATGTACATTCTTGCACAGATTTTGTTCCTAATCCTCTTTGTCCACAGCAGAATGAGCCTTGATCTGTAACACTCCTTTTTTTTGCTGCAGTATGGAGAGCAGAGGGAATTCCTGTGGCGCTTGGCCCGAGCACACAGTGACATGTGTGTGCTCACGGAGGACACGGACGAGAAGCGCTCGTACGCGTTGGAGGGTAAGACGTGGTGTGTTGAGGCAAGGGAAGGCTGACACTTGAGCTTTATAAACCCTACACCTGCACACAGCATGGTGCATTGGGTATTTTTCCTGAAAATCTGTTTTTTAGGCAAGTGAGCAGCAGTGCTGAGGTGTTTCATGTTGAAAATTTCTACTTTCTGAAAGGGTATAAATAGACTAGTTCAAGCTGTAAAAGTTTGTCTCTCAAACCTGTCATCCATATCCTCTGTGACATTAAAATAAATCATAAAATGACTAGGTCAGTAAACATTTGATTTTTTTGTGTGTGTGTTGCCAGCACGTGCAGGTATAAAAAGGAAATGTAATTTTAAATGAGTGTTTGCTTGGAGGAATCAGTTTGGTTTCAGTCTCTTATTCTTCTTCACCATCTGGAATGTGTTTACAAGGTTTTAGGTGAGTCAGAGCAGAACAAAAATCATCTTTATTACAGTTAAAATGTGCCTCAAAAGGTGCTAATTAAACAATTTCTGTCCTGTTTATAGTGCACATAACTAGAGTTAGTTAGTACTTATAGCTAATATAGTTATTCTTTTCTGGAAATCAGGGATTTTATGTTTAAATGTAGCCATTTAAACATGGAATTTGAAGTTTTATATAGTCCTTTTAGCCATCCATAGGTGCTTGGTTTTCAGCATTTTGAGTCTGCAGGAGGATAAAATTATTTATAGGATGTTTTCAAGCCAAATTATTATAGAATTAGTAAATATGTGACTTTTATGCCATTCTGTTACTCTAACAGCCTCAGAGAGAAAACAGGTGAATTTCTTACCTTTGACCACTTCTTTCCAGGGAAAGAAGAGCTGGAACTTGCCTTACAGAAATGGGATCAAAGTGCTGAGTGCCACCAGTGGTACGTGACATTTACTTTGCTTTTAAGAAGTGTTTTTCCTTTGTGTCCTCCAACATTTTTGGGTTAATAGTTGGGGTTTTGCTCTGTTCTTGGCATTTTGCTAACACTCTGCAGCCCAGAGCTGCTTGCTTTGTGGCAGGAGGTGATGCATTTGCCTCAGTCACCAAGGCCTGGGAGTGTGGCCAAATTTCTTGTATTCGTCTTCACTGTGGAGGAAGAGCCATCATTCTTATCAGACAGGTTTTTATAGTCTTCTGCAAGTGTCTTCTGGCACTGCTGGCTCTGCTCAGAGGTGTTGCTTGTCACCCTGCAAAGCCTCTGGCTTGGAAAGGGAGTTGGGAATTATTGGGAAAACAGGATGCTGAGTGTCTTTCCCAAACAAGATCTGTGCTCTTCTAATGAGGAAATTTGTTTGGATGATTGTTTTGGACTAATGGCATCACAATAAATGCCTTTATCATCTTAAAAAGGCTATATTTCAGCTGCTAGTAATGAATTGCTGCTCTCAAAGCTTTGATAGGAAAGAGGAATTTTGGGACAGGCAATAGGACTGTCTCCAGTAGATTATGGTCTTGGGCTCTGACTGCTGTTACATCCTGATAAAATGGGGTTTAGCTGCCAAAGTTAGTCTTAAAGTTTGTATTTTACAAAGCAGGATTCTACTTCAGGGTCTAATATTGATGATTTTGCCTTGTAATTCAGAGTTTGGGACAATTCTTGGCCTCTCAGACCTCTCCCACACAGGGATAAGGCTCCTGCACAGCTACATCTTGTTTTTAATTCTCCAGAGCAGCTGGAGAAAGGGCAGCTGGAGAAGGGAAACAGCAGAGCAGCGTGTGGGAGGTGTGGGATTTCTTGGGAATGAATATTAACTCCCTTTATCAGCACAGAAATAATTATTTTCTGCCATGAATAGAACAGGAAATTATTCCCTTCCCAGCTCTGAGGTGGTCACAAGCTGCTTTAATTGCAAGTCTTCTTCTGTGCTAATTGAATTTACCCTGAGGGGAAAAAAAAGCCAGTAAAGATTTTAAAGCTTTTTAGGGGTGGATTTGATTCCTCAGCTTTTGGTTTAAGGAGAAGTGAACAGAGAATGTTGTTCACACTTCCTTTAAATTGCAGTTTTATTCTGTCATATTTCCCTCTCTAGTGCCTGATTCCCTTGTTGAAGACCCTAATCCTTTATTATCTCTTGTCATAGGGAATAATTTATTCTCTCCCATTACCCATGTTGTCTTTCCCATGTTATTCTCTCTCCCATGTCTTTTTCCAGACAGAAGTGCAGGAATCCAGTGCAGGACAAGCTGTGGGAGCAGGATGGATTTGTGTGATGCTGATGGGGTGGTCCATCTCGTTCTTACTTCCATATCCATTAGTTGACATCATCCTTCTCTTTTCCACTTCATCCTGAATGGCCATTTTAATAGCAATATTCCCAGTTATTTTGCTGCCTCTTCACACATACTGTGTGAAGCCTGGTTGTACAGGTATCCTGGGCTGCACTTTTCCCTCTGTGTGTGCCATATCTCATGTTGATTTTCTGTTGTGTCGGTCGCCACTTAATGCTTATGGATTCCTTCAGATGGAATTGTGCTGGTTTTGGTGCTTATTCCTTGTCTTTTGTGCTTGTTGCTTACTTGTGCTGCCCAAATTATTCTCAGTTTTATTAGCTTTGAGGTGCTGAGGAAGACAGAAGGTACATACAATACATACAATCACTGCTGCAAGTAAAGCTTTTCCCCTCTCAGTGCCTCATAGTTGTTGCAGTAATCACTGACATTTTAAAGCAGCAAACAAAGAAAAGAACTTTGGGAAAGGGAAGGATTTCTGCTGGGGGAAGCAGTGATGAGAGGAGCATTACTGGGGAGCTCTTTGAGGCTGGATGGTTGGAAGGATTTGGCAGTGGAAGAGCAAGTGGTTTCCCAGGAATGACAGAGAGAGCAGTAAGTGTCTGGAACTGTGTCTGGACTAGCTTTGGGATCTGCCCAAACGCAAAGGAGAGTCCTTTCATGGAGCTCCTGGGTCTTTTTGACATGAGATTTGGTACAAAGCTGTCATTGTAGTCATTGCAGTTGGAAGTCAGCCGGTCCCAAGGGAGCCATCTCCACAGAGCGGGTTGGAATGGAATGGGAATTTGATCAGGGCTGCACAGACAAGCCAGGCCTTGTGCAGAAGGACTGATCTCTGGCTCTGCTTCCCTGGTAGGCTCCAAGAAGGAACACAGAAAAGTGTTAGTGGTGTTGGGTGTTTGGTGTCTTCAGTACCATTAGAGTCGATTTGGGTGTTTGTAGGCTAAGGGATATTAGGGCAATAATAATCTTAATGCTGGGATAATCCTCCTATTTATAATTACCTGACTCTTACCTTTGATTTGACATCAAAGTCATTCTGTGCTTTAATTTTTAAAGACCTCTGAGCAGGCAGAATTTGTGTCCAGCTAAAGTGATTTCTCCCTTAGCTGATTTCAGCCTGTGAGGAGGACAGAGCAAGTTCGGAAGTCTGTTCTTGCTTGCTTTTAGGGATGGATGGATATAGGGATGGATGGATGGATATAGGGATGGATGAATGGAAAAGGCATCAGTGGTTGCACAAACCTCTGTGGTTTGCTGCTTAGACACAAATATGTGACATCTCACAGATGAAGTGACTTTTAGAATCCCCAGTCCGTTCCCTGTAGCTCTTTGCAGCACAACTGCAAACACATAGCAGCAGCTTTAGGGATCAGGGAAGGAGAGCAAGCTGCATGTTTGCCTTGGCTTCCATTCCTGTTGCTAAAAGACATATTGGAAGTACAACCAGAGGGATTTCAGAGAAATCCAGGAAAAAATTGTGCAGGTGCTGTATTAGCAGCTTAGTTTGAGTTGAATATTTGACCCTGAAAATGAAGTGCTAACTGCTGAAAGCCTTTGTGGAAGGAATAATCATCTTTGGCCCTCTTAGAGATATTCTGTATGTTATAGAGAAGTGAGATTGGGTTGGATGAGCCTCCAAAATGTGCTCTTTCTTCTAAAGAGTCTGTCAGTTTGGTGGAACATCTTGATCAGCACGGCAGTGTGTACCAGCCCTTTGCAGTTCCGTGGGTGCAGCTGGCTGTCTGTGGGCAGAGCCTGGATTGCTGCAAAGTGACAGTGTTCTGGATGTGACTGGGAGACAGCTCGAGTTTAACAACTGTCAGGACTTAAGGATTTAACTCTTTGTGGGTTGCTGTCCAGATCTGGCCAATTTTGAGCTGGATTCTGGATTTAGGAGCTGAATGTTTTCTGTTCCGTGGGAGAATTAAACAGTTAGTGTCCATATAGATGTGGGGCAGGAGCAACTATAGGAATAGGGGAGTTAGATATGTGTGATGGAAATAATATGGAATTCAAGCTGTCTGATATACCTGGGAGGGTCCCTCCCTTCATCAGGGGCATTGGTACCCTGAAACATCTCCATGTCCTGAGCCACAGAGACTTTAATCTGGGGTGTGATTTATTGTGCTTAAATCTCTAACATACATCACCACGCACCATTTTCAGCTAGTTTATACCTGTAGATTTGTTGTCTCTTCCTAAATCTTGGCTTTGTTATGCCTCAGCCTGGGCTTTTATCTCCCACACCAAGCCAGCAGGACTCTTGATGAATCCTTACCTTTATCTGGGAAGATGTATAACCAGCAGTGGACATAGCAGTGACATGGATTCCTGCAAAGCATCCCAGTGTTTATTCCTGCTCAGCTGGCACATGGACAGCCCATATGGCTGTCTGTCTTTCCAACCAGACTTTGCCCTGGAAAGTTAATTTGGGAAGTAATTTGAACATCCAGAATAGAGGAGCTCTCCCATATGGATGTTTGCGGTCTGTAAGGAAGGGAGTACATCTGCCTTCCTCACCTTTTCTTGTCTCCCCTTGGAAAACCAAAGCTTTTTTCCCAAGCTCTTTATGAGCAGCTGGTCACGAATTCAGGTTGAGTCACTAGGGATTCTGCTGTCTCTCCCAAGGTACTAATTCCTGAATTAATGATTATTTTAAGTTTTGGTTTGTCTAAGTACCTTCCCGCTAATTCCCTGTCCCCTTACTCAAGTGAAGGGACTAGCATACATGTACTCGGTGCACAGAGAGGTGAAAAACTGGGAATGCTCCTAAAATATTGGGAAAACTGTCTTTGAAATGGTTAAAAGAGATAAGAGCTGCGTTTGGGTTGGCAGAGCACCCTGGCTGTGGAGGGGAGGTGCTGGAGACTATTCCATGGGCAGTGTCCTGCTTCCAGGGAAGTCAGCCAGAGTGCAGCATCCAAATGAGATTCCATCAAAGTCCTGAGACCAGGGATTTAAGCTGGAAGAACAGGCTCTCTCAGCTGGGGGTATCTGCTTCCACAGAGTTTATTTTCTAATAAAGGAGGAAACCCTGAGCTGTGCTTCCTGTGGGAACTGCAGTTTGCCTGGTGTCAGCAGCTTAATGAGGAGGCTGGTTAATAATTAATCAAGTGATATCCTAATGAAAGCTTTGGATTATGCTGAGATTGGGTCTAAGCAGTGCTGCAGAGGTCACACAATGGTTACAGGAGATGCAAATCCCCTCAATAACTACTTTTAGACTTTCCTGGTGTGTCTGCTCAGCCTTCCTGCACCTCCCTAGTGCCTCTGGTGACACTCATCCAGAGGTATTCCACAGAATGAGCTGGAATAAATAGCTCCACTGTGCCAAGCTAAACAAACAGAGAAGAGAACAGCAGAAATCAGAGCCTAAAATCTCAGAAATGCAGAGTTGTGGGTATGAAAATCCCCAGCAGGACCAGCAAAGCTGGGTTGGGCGAGTCATCTTTCCTGGGAATACACTGAGAAAACACTTCAGGCATCTCTTCCCATGTTTATATTTTGAAGTCTATTTCACCAAACAAAAACAGAGCGGAAATTCACTATTTACTGCTGCTTTTCTAGCTTCTTCACCAACATTTCACCAAGCTCTGAAAAAAAATCTGGAGTTAATATTTCCTGACATGAGACATGTGATTTATTGTCTAGGAATATTTTATCTCATGATCTTAGACAATAAGGCTTTTATTGGCTTGTATTTCTCAACCCCAGTCATGTTGTGGTTAGGGATATTTAGCCCAGGAACCAAACTGGAGATGATTCTAAAATCACTTAGTCCATCGTCTGCACGCGACGGAGTGGGGAAGTGCATCCATGAGCTCTTCCAGCTGGGGGAAAAGGATTTGCTTCCAATAACACATTGATCTGGTCATCTTTGCCATTAGCACAAAAACTTAGAATTTCAGAGCTGTACCAGAGCTTTTCCATAAGAAAATGAACAAGTTAAAGGAATGAAATCTAAAGCAAAATTGTAAATTATTCGGGAGACAAAACTTGGTGTTGTAACTTATGTGTTGGAAATGCAGGTCCGGCAGGAGCAGTGAGGTGTGAGGTGATTTGTGGGATTTCCTGACACTGAAGAAAGTGTAACTGGAGATTTCAGAGTTTTCTGACAGATTCCTGCACGAACATCTGCTGTGGTTAACCATCCAGGGATGCTTTGGGATAGCAGTGCCAGAGTATCCAGCAGCACTGGGATGTGGGTGCAGCAAAAGGGAGGTTTGCTGCATCATTCTTCTTTTCAGCTTGATTTTTTGAAAGATTTAGATATGTTATTCATTTGTCCATCTGTTCCACACAATATTTTTGAGACAAACTTGGAGATGGGATGGAAGTCTCCTCCATCCCCAAAGCTCCTGCCCGAGCAGGATGGCAGAGGCCAAGCCTGAACTGGCACAGGTTCAATCTGCAGGTTCTGTCCCACAGCAGTTCCCTGGGGAGCTGAGTGGTTGTTTCTTGGAAAGTAATGCAGGGAAGGAGGGTTTGAATTGCTGTGATGTGGGGAGGTGAGATGGGAGGGTGCAAATCCATGGGGAATTAACCTTCCTTGATTTTTCATGGCTCATACAATGCCTAATTTATTGGGGGGCCATGCTTCTCAGGCTCATAACTCACAATCTTTTACTGCACAAAACTAAAACTAAATGGCTTTGCACTTGCAATGCTGAAAATGTGTTATTCTGTTTCCCAGCTGCAGGATAGAGGTAGGTTTTCCCAAGATTTCCCTGGAAGTAGAGCCCTGTGTGCTGCAGTTGGGCTGCTGCATCCAGAGATGACTGTACCCTGTAGTTGGAGCTGCTCATAGTCTGGCTCTTGCTGCAGTAGCTTTACTCCTCACTGCTCTGTTCTGTCCATTTTGCTCCTGAGTGAAGGAATTTGGGGTGTGGATGTGGCTGCTCCTGGTTTTCAGCCATCAATGCCACAAGTTTGTGTGTCACATCAAACCCCTCCTGTTATATGCTGCATCCTTCAGGCTAAAACCTTCCTGAGGCACTAGATCTTTACTGCATATGTCTCTTCCCTGAAAAGATGTGCAGTATTCCTTGTTTTCCCCAGCAAGGTGTGAAGCTTTAACGCATTTCACAGAATCCTGGAATAGTTTGGGTTGGAAGGACCTTAAAACTCATCCAATTCCACACCCTGCCATGGGCAGGGATACCTTCCTCTAGACCAGATTGCTCAAACCCTGTCCAGCCTGCTCTGGAACACTTGTATATCTTCCTTCCAAAGACATCAATAGCAGGAAAATATGGATTTAAGCCTGGCTGGCTCATGCAGATGTCTCCCCATGCAGGTATGCCATCCTTTGTGGGCAGCTGTCAGAACATGAGACCATTCAGAAGCGTATTCAGTCTGGATATGTCTTCAAGGTGAGTGGGTGTAAGCATCAAACACTTCTTTGTGCAGTAGGGAGTTAGGAAAATTGGCTCCAGATCTGATTAGGGAAGTAGTGGATCTCAAAGAGATGCTACAAGTGGGTGGTTTGACTGAGGAAGGTGGTTCCAGCAATGTCTTTAGAGAGTGACTGGTCTGACTCAGCACTTTTGCACACTATAATCACAGGTCAAAAAAGGAATAAGAAAAGTCTTGCAAATAAAATTGATGTGTTTGATGAGACCGAGAGCTTGAAACATGAAATCACCATGTTGTGATAAGATACAGCACCAGCTTGTCTGCAGTAAGTGCCTGTAGCAGGTTTGTACCCTCCCAGAAAGGCACAGCAGTTACTGCTCAAAGAGGGTTTGATCTGCCTCAGATTCCTTTATTTGCCTTGAGGATGTTCCAGGGAAGAGGATGTACCTGGAACAGGCACTATAGAGCAGCCCACAGGTAATTATTGCCTCATCAGCTGTTGGCATGACAGTGAGCTGGTCATGTCAGAGCTCTGGAGGTGGAATAAGCTGAAGGACAGTTCCATTTGTGTGTGTGCAGTCATTCTTGTCCCTGAGGCTGGAATATCTTTGTAGGTGTAATTTTACTCAGCAGCACTTTAATTGTGTGTTTTTTTCCTTGCTTCTTTCTTCGTGTGCTCTTGTGAATATTTGGTTTCTTTGTAACAGAGATGTAATGTGTGTTGCTGATGTTTTCCACAGGAACACATTGATAAAGCAATTGAACTGAAGCCAGAGGACCCAGAGCTGTACTATCTCCTGGGCAGGTGGTGTTACCAGGTAACGAAGTTTATTACTGCTAATTGCTGTCTCTTCCTGCTTGGAATTTAATTCCATGTTGGAATGAGAGAGAGGTGGATGCAAACCAGAGATGTAATGTGTGTTGCTGATGTTTTCCACAGGAACACATTGATAAAGCAATTGAACTGAAGCCAGAGGACCCAGAGCTGTACTATCTCCTGGGCAGGTGGTGTTACCAGGTAACGAAGTTTATTACTGCTAATTGCTGTCTCTTCCTGCTTGGAATTTAATTCCATGTTGGAATGAGAGAGAGGTGGATGCAAACCTTGTAAGGTCTTTTTTTTTCAGGTGCTGAACTCAGAGGTTGTGCCAGAAAACACAGACATGGAAATGGCCTAGAAACTACAGGTTGGTGGAATTGAAGACATGCTGAAGCTTTTAAAACCATGAGAGTGCAGTTTACTCTTAGTAATGTCATTTGTTCTTGCTAGTGGAATATTTTTGTCCCCAAACCCCCAAAAGGCTTTAGAACTCCTTCATGTACCTCTAGAGTAAAAGCTGCTAAGGCTTTGCTGCTTCATTTATTGCCACTATTCTGCTCTTCATTTTCCCCCTGGTTTGTGTCTCTTTCCCAGAGGGAATCTGTTTGCTAACAGTGTTCTGTCTGAGCTGCTCTGAATTGGAGCTCTGAAGGGTTTGGGACTCCAGATGTAGTTTTTTATTCAGTGCTGCTGGAAATGGCAAAACAAAGAATGGATTGGGAAAAGCTTCATTTTCTCTTACTGTTCCCAGTGCTTTGCTCAGTAAAAACAGCCTTCCTTCAATCCTCTAAGCACATATGGATGTGATCAAGGCCATTTCAGGGCTGGCAGGAGCTTCTGCACACAGTCTATCTGTATAATCTGTTGCATGTGTCCCCTCTGCCCCTGCCACACGGGGAACTGGAGGGGTTTGGAGCCGTGTGCTGGCTACTTTATAGCTCCTGACAGGGAAACACTTGGAGTCAGATGCCATAAATCAGATTTAGAGCCTATAAAAAGGAGTAAGAGTCTGCAGTAAGTGTCTGCTCTGCAGTTTATACCATTTGAAAGCACTTTGCTGCTGTCAGGAATGGAGCCATGATGCAGAGTTGTAGCTAGGATAACTGACACTGGGAATTACAGAGAACTGCTGGTAGCTCCTGGCTCTTTTCCTTTGTAGACTTTCTGCTTAGCCTGGCTGCTCCTGGAGCTGCTGAAGCCATGGAATAAAACCAAATGGATGGAGAAATATGTTAGTGCTTCTGCTAGTCTGTGTTGTTAGAATTACACAACAAGGTAGTGACAGGACAAGAGGCAACAGCCTCAAGTTGTGCCAGGGGAGATTCAGGTTGGTCATCAGGAAGAATTTCTTCATGGAAAGGGTTGTTAAACTTTGGAATAGGCTGCACAGGGAGGTGTCAGAGTCACCATCCCTGGAGGTGTTCCAGGAACAACTAGATGTGGCACTCAGTGCTCTGGTCTAGCTGACAAGATGGTGATGGGTCACAAGTTGGACTCGATGGTCTTGAAGGTCTTTTCCATCCTGGATGATTCTGGGATTGTCTGTAGTGGGAAGGCTCTAGCCTCCCTCTGCCAACGGATTTCAGGATGGGGAGAGCAGGTTCTTGCGCAAGGTTTGAGCTGGGAGATGGGAGAGCTCCACAGGTGAGTGTGCTTTGATGTACAGCTGGAACTGCTGTGGCTGCAGTACAGCAGTTTGGGATTTGGGGCCACCACAAGAGACTGGACAGCTCTTTCTCCATGCACTGTGTCTGTAGTGGGTGTGACATGTTGACCTTCCCGTCTCTGCAGGTTTCCCACCTGGGGTGGCTAGAGAAGAAGACTGTGTCTGCACTGTTTGAGGCCCCTCCGACAGCCACGGTGCAGGACGCACTCCAGAACTTTCTACGGGTAAGGAAGTCTGCCAGGAAAGGGCATTGCTGACCTGCACAGGTCACAGGGTGGGAGTGAGGTGCTTGTGTCCTCAGCCCTCCCTGAGTGTTCCATGATGCTTTTCCATTGACTGGAACCTGTGGAAGAAAAGCTGATGAAAGGGAGAATCCTGGAGCCTCTGTTGTGGAATAGCCTGACAGAAGAGTGGGATGTTGAAGGTGTCAGAATTATGACCCAAAGTGTTCCTAATTGATTTTAAGGGGTTTGGTTTTTCTTTTAAAAGCTGCACAGTGATTCATTGCTGGGTACTGAATACATCTGGTCTGTGCTATCAGGGTCTGAGGTCTGTCTGAGCTTGTCCCTGGGCACACTCGTGTAGATCCATCCTGTCATCTTGGTTTCCTCAGAATCTTTTACTTACAGCTTGTCTGAGTAGCTCAGACTTCTCCAGTTCAAACTTTTCAGGACAACTACTCGAAGGTTTTAGGGGCACAGTGCTTATGGGTTTCTTAGGCCTCCTTCCCTCCTAGCAGCAGGCAGAGTATCTTCCTTCTTCCCTTCCCTCCTAGCAGCATCTCTTTTTGTCCTTTTAAGAGCTGCAGTAAGCCTGATGTAAGGTCTGACTGAGTCCTTGCACATCCTAATGTCTGCTCTTCCCTGTCACACCCTCCCTCTGTTCCTGCAGGCTGAGGAGCTGAGCCCAGGATTTTCCAAAGCAGGAAGAGTTTACATTGCCAAGGTAACCAGCCACGTCTTGCTTTTTTAGATCACATGGTAAGAAATATCTGTATTAAAAAAATCATCTTTGGCTGTAAAGTGCTGAGCTGGTGGAAAATCCTCCATGCAGGAGCAAGGGTTTGTAAGATGATAATATTTCTCTTTTAAGTTTTTTTAAGCAAAATCACCTTGTGTAGAGGCTTTAAAATTCAGGGGATTTTGGTTTTTAACAGATCAAATTCTATATAAAGCAGCACTGGTGACTTGGCAGCCACAGGCTGGAGCTTTAATCCCTCCCCATCACTTCTGTGGTGGCATAGGAAGAGAATAGTGGGGGAAAATTAAAGGATTTCTCTATTTACCAGTCCAGATGGGAGTCTTCAGCAAAGATTAAATTCACCACAAGTGCCTGGAGCTGCAGCTCCAAAGATCTTTTTGTTTGCACTGAGGGAATAATTGGCTTTGAACTTTTAAATGTTAAAATTGCTGATTAATTCCTGCACTCTCCAGTTGGCATCTAGGAACACTGAAAGCCCAAAGAGCTTTAGAAATACTACCCGGTGTGGGTGTAGCAGTGAGTAGCTGTGGCTATTCTCTGTGAAATTCCTGAATTCTCAAAGGATGTGTATTTTATCAGGATCTGCTGGGGCTGGAATTCATTATTCCTATGTGAGTGCACAATTTACTTCCCAATGAACATCTCAGTAAAGGAGAATGAAGGTGGTAGGGGAGGAAAACTTGATGAGGGGGCGAAGCCTTCACACAGCTGGAATAGAAATAACTCTTTTTAGCACTTGCCCAGTTGCATTTACTGCCTGTTTTTTCCACATTTAACCCTTCTCCTGTTGTGATTTCTCCTTCCCAGTGCTACAGGGACCTGGGGAACACCTCAGCAGCTGTGCTGTGGATGAACCTTGCCTTGGAGCTGCCAGGGCGCACCAAGGAGGTAACACTCAGCCAGGACACTGGGAGTGGGCAGGGAGAAATGGGGTACAGAGAGAAAATGGATTATGTCCCACGGCTCCTCCTCCAGAGGAGGCCATGGAGATGATTAGAGGGACATGGAGCAGCTCTGCCATGAGGAAAGGCTGAAGGAATTGGGATTGTTCAGCCTGGAGAAGAGAAGGTTTCAGGGTGATCTAATTGCCCCTTCCAGTACCTGAAGAAGCTACAGGAAAGATGGAGAGAGACTATTTGCAAGGGCCTGGAGTGACTGGACAAGGGGAATGACTCCAACTGACAGAAAGTAGTGTTAGATTAGATATCAGGAATGAATTCTTGGCTGTGAGGATGCTGAGGCACTGGCACAGGTTGCCCAGAGAAGCTGTGGCTGCTCCATCCCTGGAAGTGCTCGTTCCAGGTTGAACAGGGCTTGGAGCAACCTGGGCTAGTGGAAAGTGTCCCTGCCCAAGGCAGGGCATGGAACTGGTTGAGCTTTAAGGTCCTTCCAACCCAAACCATTCCAGGATTCCATGATGTCCTTAAAACCTAGTTTGGTGTTATAGGAAAATGCAAAATTGTGGGTTTTTTAGTTGTTTCATCAAGGCTGAACATTTATCTGTTCCCTTCCTGCATTTGCAGGATGCAGAGAGTGAGCAGGAACTTGAGGAGTTGCGCTCAGTCTTGGAGGAATGACCGTGGAAAGGCTCACCCCACTGGATACTGCACAGACAGTAAAATTCCAAAGGGGTTTGATGGTCCTGACAACTCTGATTGCACTTCATGGATAAGCCACATGAACTTAAAGGAAAGCACACCCAGCAGCACATCCAAGAAAACATCTTGGTGGAATTTAATGGGATGAAATAGTGGTTTATTTTCCTTCTTAGAGCGCTGCATGTGTTGGATTTTTAAATCCCTGGAAATGTCACATTCCTAAAAACAGGTGGGAGGGAGTTTATAGGTAGAGTTTGTGGTATGAAAATATTGGTGGTTTATATATATGTGAGATAAATACTGTGTGATATATGCATCTGTGTGTGTATATATATATATATATATATATGCAGACATATATATTTCATATCACACACTCTGCCTGTCTGACAGCATTGCTGGAGAGCTCCCACCTCATTCCTGAGGGAAACTGCAACTAAAATTGTTTTTCAGATTAACTATTTTCACTTTAATAAATAATTGAATCAGTTGAAATAACTGTTAATTTGTAGGTGTTGAGGGGAGATCAAATTCCAAGCAGAACCAAGGAGTTTTCCTGTGCAATCCAGACTAGATTTTAAGAGATTTATTAATCAGAGAAGTGAGAAATAGGATTTTAAACTTCAGGATTTCCTCCCAGTGAAGTTCTTCCCTTTACTCACATGGACTGGAAACTTCTGTCCCTCCAAACTGTGCTGCTGTGTTTTGGGTGGAATCACTGAGTTTGGAAAGTAGTTATTGATCAGGGAACAAGTTACAGGAGCAGGAATATCCTGTGGCAAAGCTGATGCTTCTCCAAACCAGTTAAAAGGTTATTTGTCTTCTACTTAATTATCCTCTGGACTGATGAGGTGACACTGAGGAGGTGAATCCAGCGACTGACATTTCCTCTGGCAGCTCCTGGGGACCAGACAGAGAGAGGGAGCTGTGCTGGACACTGACACGGATGGGGAAGAAAACTCAGCATTCAGAAATTCCCAAAATATTTACCAAGGCTTCCTTGATATCCCTTAAAATTCCAGCTGGCACCTAGTGAACACTGTGCTGTGTGGTGGTTGTGAAGGGGAAAGTGACAAGTGTGAGAGTAAAACATTCCTTAATCACATTTTTAGTCCCTCAGACATGTGGTGGGTTCGTTACTTCCTGAAAATAACACTGGAAGGGAAACACATGACAAACTCCAGTGTAAAACCTTCCTGCTTTATAGATTTGGCACTTTTTAGCTTTTGGGTTTTCCTCCCCAAATCAAACTCTCTAAAATGTTGGTGCTGAGCTCCTCTCCTGCCACCCAGGACCATGTGCAATTAGCTGTGCTTGCTTAAAATCATAAAAACTGAAGTTTCTGAATGGAGAGCTCAATGCTGAGAGGCTGGAGCTGATATCTGGATCTGTAATTTTTGGGATGTTTTGGGACATTTTTGTACTTTGTGAGCTGTTCTCCAGTTCCTCCATGGAATGCTGGAGGTGCCTCTTGCACTTGGCTTCGGTCTGGTTTGAGTATTTCTCAGTGGATAACATTTTCTTCTTCTGAACATCCCATTTTAAATAATTGCACAAGTTTTTGGGCTGTTTTCCTTTTGGTTGCTCAAGGGATGTTGGGAAATGCTCCACAGCCACATCCAAGAAATGATGTTTTCTCTTCCCTGCATTTCTGCCTCCCAAAAGGAAAAGTGTTAGTGTAGGAAGGGTGACACTGCCTTTCCTTACCTGGAGACTCCTTCAAGCTCTTGACTTGGAACAACATCAGTTGTTCAGAGTCTCTGGATTATGTGTTTTCCAAGGATAACTCTCACAGATTCAAACTCACAGATTTAAAACCATGGATTTAAATTTTTCTTTGGTTTTTGGGGCTGTCTGTTTCAAAACAAGGGCTCATCTCCCACTCCTGACCTTCCATGAATGCTTTAACCTTCCTGTGCAGCTCGTTCCCTGCTTTCCTTTTGTGGGATTTGAAAACAATGGACTTTATTTTGGGTTTAAAAGGGAAGGGTCTGGTGTTTCACTCCCTGTGTGTGTGGTCTTTTCCATGGGGGGGCAAAGTCCAGGTGAGTTCCTCTGGTTTCCCTTCCCTTGTGTCTGGTGGGTTCATTTGCTCTCTAACAGCTGAGGAAGGTGATGACAGTTTTTTGTGCTGTATTTTGCCATTTTCAGTCTGATCTCTGGGAAGTTGTGACCTAAGGATCCAAAGACCCTTTGCTGTTTGGTTTTCCCTGTTCCTGGCTCACAGTGAGTCAGAATGATTGACACAATTTCATCCCAGTGGCACAACCTGCAGGTTGGTGGAGAGGTGAGTGAACCACCTCCCAGTCACCAATCTGGGGGTATTTTTCCTGTAGCAATAAACCCACAGTTAGCTGCCGGGCTCCCAGTGTGCCATGGGAAAGGGAATCACCCCTCCTGTTTGGAATGAGAGGATGCACTTCAATAGCTTCGTGGAAAACATGGGAATTGACTTTTTAAAAGTCAGATACTGCATAGCCTCATCCCAGAGCACAATGTGAACTCCTCAGGTGCTTGCACTGACATATTCCAGGACCATAAGGACCTTCCCTGGTACAGTTTGGGTGGATTCTATCCTGCTCCCATCCAGTTAAATTCTTCTGGACTTACCCCAGTGTGAGGGAATAATCTCCTGGAGCTGCTTGTCTTAACTTTAAATGTTCCTACCTATGGTGAAATGCAGATACTAAAGAATAAGTGAAGCTGTTTAATTTACCCTCCCTGTGCTGTTCCCTTTGAAATGACTATTTATGAGGATGGGGGATCCTGCTGGTGTTCCCTGTGTTGCTTTGGATGCCAATACCTGTGCAGGTGCTGTACAGAGCATCCCTGGCCCTGTGCATGGGATAGGGGGTGTGGGATACACCTGGAGCAGGTTCTGTGTCCATACAACTACTGCTGTTGTTTCTCAAAGTGCCAAAGTCATCCAGTTGTTTTTAAATAAAGGTGGATAATGAGTTGGGAGCTGGTGTGAGTGTTCTTGCCCAACCTTCCTGATCCCAAAGGCCAAGTTCAGCTTCCCAGGATCAAACCCTGTCCCAGGGGCCTTCCAAGCTGGGTTTGGGGCTGGTTCTGGGTGGTTCAGAGGGTCTGAACCTCATCCAGAGGGTTTGACTCCAAAGGTTGCTGCTGCCTCCACGTTGTGTCATGAGGGTGTCATAGGTTTACCTGAACCTGAGGGATTTGTGCCCAAGAGCAGAGGATTCCTTCCAGCTGCAGGTCCTGCTGCTAGATGTCATCCTGGAGTGGACTTTGGGAGAAGAATCTAGAGTTTGAAGAGACTCAGCACTGTCAGAGCCTGCCCAAAGCCTCTTTCTGCTTCAAGCAGAGGCTTGAGGGGAGAAATCCCTCCCTTGGCTGCTCTGCCCCATGCCACAAGCCACCAGTTGGGTCTGGGGGGACAGAGAACGAGTAAACCCCTAAACCTTCCCCAACCTCCTTCCACATCAGCACAGGGAGCTTTGCTCATGGCTTCAAACCCATGCAGCCTCCCTCCCACCGCCGGGAACTGGTCCTTAAGCTCCATCACTGCCCCCCAGCCTCCCTGAGCTCCTGCGTGGCTTTCCTTGAGCTTGGAAAGTGTATCCTGTGTGGAATCTCCTCCTCCAGCCTTCTGCTGCAGTAGGGGGATGAAGTGAGGGTCCAGTCCTCGCAGGGAGGTCCCCGAGGCGAGTGTTGACCCATGCTATGGTGGGGGAGCTTTGGAGGTGAATGATGCTTCCAGCCACCCCCTGGAGAAAACGACTGGAACCAGATCCTGTGTCAAAGGCATTTATTGTTGCAGGGATGCGCTGCGGGAAGATCCAGCCACAGGCAAAGCCAGATCTGAACTGAGGAGGTGCAGCATGGTGGGATTCACCCTCCACCCACCACGATGGTCCCTCAGGGCAGGATGAGTGTGGGGACCCTCGGCTGCACGGTGACGGTGAAGGGCTGCGGCTTCAGCGCCAGCCCGTGGACACAGTCCATGGTGAGGTGCTCCGCCGGGTTGGCGTGGAAGGAGCACTGGTGGAGGAGGATGGCAGTGAAGATGAAGAGCTGGAGCTTGGCCAGCTGTTCGCCGATGCAGCGCCGCTGCCCAGCTGAGAAGATGACACTGCTGGCACGGCCGTGGTCCAGGCACCACCATGAGTCCAGGAACCACCCGGGGTCGAAGCGCTGAGGGTCAGGCCACTTGCTGCTATCATGGTTGACCAACCACTGATTGATGAAGACCACGGTGCCCTTGGGGATGTGGAAGCCCTCGAGCTCCACGTCGTCCGTGGTGGCGTGCGGGATAGTGATGGGCACAAAGCTGCTGTAGCGCAGCGTCTCGTAGATGAAGGCCTCCA